TCGGTAGTAATGTTCTCTGAATGTGGATGATGGTCAGACTCAGGACCCAAAATTGGGGGAGATGGGAAATGAAAGCTCAATATATTTTTAAACTATTTGTCCAATTAGTTACAGCTCACCACTTCAAAATGTTGGAATTGTATTCCTACTTTACAGACTGATATATGTTATATGCTGCATTGCTAATCATGTTAGGTCACCAGTGAATGTACAAAAGGTCATAAATTTTGAACAAATCGGACCATCTGCAAAAAAAACCAGTTTACCACACAATTATGATCTAAGGAAGCATAAAACTATCCAAGGTCCGTTTATGCCTAGAAAGTTGGCGAACTTTTATTTATTTCTGAGCTACAGGTATTGAAACGTAGTTTTAATACATTTCAAAAACGGCTTTTTGGACCAGAAATTGCAACAAAAATGGAAGATGTCATTGCCTTGTAATTTTGTTGGGATTATTTGACACGATTCAATACATGTCAATTACTAGTTATGGAGTAAGTTCCGTAGCTAGTTAATAGAAGTTTGGCTAGCAAAGTCACCTGTGAGTAAGGTCAAGGCCATTGGGCCTCCGCTAAACTAGCGAAACCTTATTTTTTCATCTTTCTGAAAGATTAGACCTAAAACGTACATGTACAATTATGATTCACTAATTAATGTAGGTTTAAAAATAAATGTAAATACCTGCTAGAAAATGTTAGTAAACGGTAGCTCGTGAACTACATGATGTAGGCTTAATCATGGGTCCAGGGCCAGGTGTGTTGTCACAAATATGTGTTGTAATGAGCTTGGTAGATATCCACTAATTATATGCCCGGCCCTTTTAAAGTTCTCTCTGGCATCAATCTTTCATTTAAACAAAAACTTTTCAACCTTGTTGTATTGTAGGCATGTAAATGTTCCCGGACACCCCAGCCTGTACAACGGAAAGAATGCTAAAGTATTGAACTTTTGCACTCATTAAAATGCTCGGGACTAAGGCAATGTTTAGCTGTATGATTAGGTTCTACTATACATCGGACGCACTGTCATCATATATATCATCATTCATCCGATCATCATATGAGTCCAATTGCACAGTCATCTCATCTACCTCACTCCTCCTGCTGCTGGTTACTGCATGTTTGCAGCTTGCAGAGATGTGTACACCTTCTCTTGTTTGGAGGCAGAACGTCTCTCCTCTGTGATGGTCCTTGCCGACGTTGTGCCAAGCAATTTAATTTGCATCACAGCTTCAGCGGGGGCGGTGGTGAGACAGCTCCCAGTTAATGCACTTAACTCGCCATCTACTTCCTTCCATTTGATGGCGTGCGAGATCAGGAATGTCGCTGAAGCCTGGTCTTTCGCCAAGGCACCTTCAGGTTGCTAAAGCCCAGGATGCTGGGCCAGGGCGCTACGACAACACGTAGCTTCATGTCAAGTTGCGTGGTTTTGACCTATTATAGCCATTTTAGCAGGAGGTTCGATCTGCATTCACTTATGATGGTTCGTCCCTGAGTTTGATGGTCCTCTTTCCTTAAAGTTGCTGATGTCTATTGAGTTGTCTGTGATTCAGTGGCGCGAAGAAGTCCTTAATATGACATTCTACCAGTAGAGCATTCTGATAATTAAGCTCAGAGCACAAATGGCATTGGTCCAGTTCCCCTCAAAGCATTTCAACTAGGACGAAGCAAAACATCCGGTCATCCTTCTTGATTTTGGTGTACTAGTCAGGGTGGTGGAACGATCTCTGCACTTCGCACGTGTAGCTCGCAATAGACTCATGGCGGGGAACTCATAATACTTCAGCTGTAAGGCATGTCTTGTGGGCACGTTTGGCTGGAATGAACTTTTCTGTGCTCCTCGGGGTCTCTGTCGTCTTTCTTTCCACCGGTCTCCTCAATGGTCTGGTCAAACAGGGATCTTCCAAATGCGATTTCTGTTGCAGAAATCACCATTTCTCAGTGTGCTCCAAGGCTCCTGGCATCTTGTGGGAGATTAATCACCTCGGCGTAATAGATGCTGAGATACCTGGCATAGTGTGTGGTTATCACTACGCAAAGCACCATAGATCATGATCATGTATGGCTGAAGATGTAGTTCAATTAGGGTTGCATTTTGAAAGACCCTCCCGCCCTTCCTCGCGCCTGGGCATTGGCTTGCTTGCTTCGCTACCTTTCTCCCCGTCGTTCGAATGTCAGAGTTGAATGCATACATGTGTTAGAAAGTGTTTACTGTGTGTTGCCTCTAGGCGACCCTGTGTGTGGGTGGTGTGTGCGCGCGTGTGTGTGTGCGTGCGTGCTGTGCGCTGCCGTCGCGTGCGTGCGGTGGATGTGTTCCGGTGCGTGCGTTGCTGGCGCTGTGTGCTGTGTGTGTTTGTTGTTATGGTGCGCTGTATCGGCGCCTCATGTCTGCGTGCGTGTGCGGGCGTCGGGTGAGTGTGTGTTCGGCAGTGTGCGGTGGGTGAGTGCGCCGCTGCGTGCAGTGCGTGTCCCGTGTGGCTGGTTGTGCCGTGCCGTGGTGAGTGCGCGTGGTGCCGTGCGACCTCTTGAAACCACCTTGTAAGCTCACCTCACGCCACGCCGCTGTGCCACAACCAACAAGAATAGAACAGAACTCTATATTCTTGTTGTTTGTGTTAAAGAAAATTATCTGATATCGGCAATAATAGGGCGAAGAGAGTGGAGAAGCATCAGCTTTGGTTAGTAAAGATCATTTCGTGTTTATTTGACCATTATTTTACTCTTTGAAATGGTCCAAGCTGCCTTGACGCACTGCAAGTACCAATCCCTTCACACCTCGTTTTTACTGTTCCTTTGTCCTGTTCCTCTTTCTTCTGTGTTCGTAAAAAAGCTAGTTCTTGGCCTCTTAGCTCTATTTCTCCCGAGTCGTTCGTTCTAAATAATAGTGCTTTCGTGGTTAAAACACGTTTATGTTAATATCGAATGAAGTATGCGACGGTAAAAGTAGAGACTCAACAGGATTTTTTTAAAAACCCCCAAAACAAATGGTCATTCACTTATAGTAGAGATTCTCCTAACTTAAGGTGTTTTTGCTTACGTTTATTAGAATTCTTGGCAGCAAGTATTTGCTGCCGACTTTGACAGAGCAGCAGCCAAACTGACACTTGTCTGGACCAGCAAGTTGCTGTCTATTAATTTTAAACCATACTCACGCGACCTGAAATGCTACAGAACAGGCTAGTGGCTGTGCGTGCTGCGTGCGTGCGGTGTGTGTGGTGCGGTGTGCGGTGTGTGTGCGTGCGTGCGTGTGCGCGTGAGCGTGCGTGCCGTGCGTGCCTGTGGGCGTTGCGTGGTGTCGGTTCGTCGACGTGGTGGCCGTGCGTGCGTGTGTCACGGTGCGTGTGTTGTGTGTTGCGCGTGCTGTGCGTGCGGTGCGCGCGTTTGTCGCGCGGTGTGCGACGTGTCGCTAGTATACCGTCGAAAGACAGACGAGAATATACGATGAATGAATGTGTTCTATTTTGGAAGTCAGGCTAACGGTGTACAGTTATGACTCCTGGCTACTAGACCAGTGCGTAGAATTAGCCATATTAACAGACAGTAACGTAGACACCGGTTTACACAAACAATAGGAGTTAGCGTCGGCTTACTAAGCTAGGTATAATATACCGCGTGTTCGGATAGAGAGAGAGAGATCGGAGAGAGCAGGTCAAAACAGAGACTTGTATAACTATATACCAGATTGGTTTAAGAGCCGGCTACGATACAGCAATAACTCAAGTTGGGTAACTGTTATCGCGCACAGTCACCATGTACGCGTTCGGCCCCGCGCTGATGGTTATGCCTAGTATAATGCATGGTTAAATTAAACAGACGTAACTAGATAGTACTCATAGTCGCTTATGTTCTTTATAATCCTGTATTTAAATAGAAACGCTTAGCAAAGGGTGTAATACGTACACACACTCACGCGCTAACCACTTATTACGTTTATGGACTATTAGAATTCCCTTGGTGTCGGAGCGTGCGGTTGCGTGTGCGCGTATCGTGCATGCGTGTGTGGTGGATGTGTGCGTGTGTGCGCGTTCGTGCGTGTGCAAGTGTGGTGTGGCGCGTGCGTGGGCGTGCGGTGTGCGTGATTGCGTGCGGCGTGACTGAGAGTATTGTGGAGCGTGTATCATAATAAGATGAGTAAAACTACAAGTTACGCAAAGTATAAGGTATTTAGTATTAAGTTGTTAGTATCCCTAAATTATACAACAACTAAACACAGCACCCTCCCCCAGATGTAGCGCGTGTCAGATTAAATTAGTCTAGACTCTGCTTAAGAACAACATGCACAAATCCTACCAGCTTCATGTCAGTGTTCGAATTTATTAATGAAATAAGTTTATTGGTATTCATGAAAACTATGAATTCATATATTTATCTTGTGTTAAATCAAAGAAATTTTACTTACGAATGCGAAATTTTCGATCTTCCTTAAGATTTAACACAAGATAAATATGAATTCATAGGGTTAGAACATATTTACACCTGTCATCATGTGAGGTGGAATGTACAGAAGGTGAACAAGGAAGATTCATACTACTCACTAACTACTAGTGTCATGTGAGGGTTGGAAGCTTTTGCACCCTGCTACAGTGAGCGGGATGTAAGCAGAATCAAGGAAAAGATTCCTACTTGCCACCATTAGTACAGGAGTAATGCTGTACAGTCATTAGTCATCAAGTCATTAGTCATCAAGCTTAGTTCATCAAGTCATGTAGGTTAGTAATTATTAGTACCATTGTATATTGTGCACTTTTTGACAAAAGTATGAAAGCTAAGCTTGTACAGTCATTAGTCATCAAGTCATTAGTCATCAATCATTAGTCATCAAGTCATTAGTCATTAAGTCATTAGTTAGTAATCTATTAGTACAGTGCTATAATTGTGCACTTTTTGACAAAAGTATGAAGTATGACGAGTGTATGTCACGTAGAGTGTAACAGTGAGTGAGCAAGAAAGGTTCCTCGTATATATAGAATGTAACAGAGTGGGTTTGTCTTCTCGTAGGAATACCATCAGGAACGGCTTGTGGCCGACCTCCCTGTGGAACCTGGGAGCCGCCGTCATCATCTTCTACTGCCTCCTGTTCGGCGATTTTGACATCATGAAGCCGGTGACAAAGGGACTGTGGCCGATAGGAGAAGCCATGAGGCTTCCCAACGGTGAGCGTGCGGAGGAGGATGCTGAGGGTGTGTGGGGGATGCTGGGAGCTCTGTGTGGATGCTGGGAGCTCTGTGTTAGCTAAGCTTGTACAGTCATTAGTCATCAAGTCATTAGTCATCAATCATTAGTCATCAAGTCATTAGTTAGTAATCTATTAGTACATTGCTATAATTGTGCACTTTTTGACAAAAGTATGAAAGCTAAGCTTGTACAGTCATTAGTCATCAAGTCATTAGTCATCAATCATTAGTCATCAAGTCATTAGT